GCCGAAGGAGGCCGAAGGAGGCCGAAGGAGGCCGAAGGAGGCCGAAGCAGTGAACCAGCACCACGGAGTCCGGTGTCGAGTAAAAACCCCTCAAAAAGGGGGATCAATTGGGGTGTCCATTACTTTGGGGGTCCTGGACATGTGTTTTGACATGTCGACATCCTTACCTGGTCTGGTGCCGTGCCCAACGCGCGGTGCGAAAGTTGAGAGCTCCTCTGACAACAGCCGGCTTGCCCAGCATCTTACTCGTTGGACCTGGTCGTTCCATGACACCGTTTGCTCAGGTTGTTTGGGGAAGATTCTTCTAGATTACGAACTATCTATCCTGAACAACCAAGGGCGAGGGATCAAAAAACAAAAATCAATCAAACGAGTATTTCAGGGGGTCAAGAAAAAAACAAAGATGAATCAAACACTAAAATACACGGATCCAAGCGTGCGGAGGGAAGAGCGATATTTCATTCGAAACAGTGATCAAAAAATCAAAAAACACATCAAAAAACAAACAGGAAATCAACGGACCTACATGTTAATACAAAACTTTTTATATATGTATATATATATCCATATGTACACACACATCTATATATCTATATACACATAGACATATGTTTGTGAGTTTAACCAAAGTATTCTGCACTTACAACAGCATTGCAATTAGTTCAAAATATTTTCTTGATATCTGCATACTTGCTACCACCCGCCCGGATCTGCACCAGAGGCTGCTTTGGTTTCCAGAAGCCTTCAGCATTCTCATTTCAATCTATAATAGCTCTCTCTCTCTCTCTCTTTCTCTTTCTTTCTCTCGTACACACACTCTACTTCAGCCTTGAATACTGCAACCTTTCCCTGTTACCTGGCCTGGGGGCCATAAAAGAGTTTTGGACCTAGGACCTGGATGGGGTTCTGAGCTTAGCCCCTCGATATGTCAAAGTTGTCATATTGCATCGGACACTGTTTTTTCCAGAAGCCTTCAGAATTCTCATTTATACACAAAAACTCTCTTTATATATATATATATATGGGTCTATAGATTCATATACAAATACATCATATACATTCTAGGAAGGAGCTAGTGGTTATGCCTAGGCTGTCGGTGCTAGGATACACCTGACACCTGACTGCTCTGGAACATCCTGTGGGTCTGCCTGGAAAGCCAGCCTGCACTCAGTCATCTGGGGAGAAGTTAGCAAGGCAGTCCACATGTAAAGGGTGCGCAACTATATAACTTGCGCTTGCATTGGGCCATCGACTCCCATTGGGCATGGTTGGGGAATGTTGTGGAACAAAAACCGGAACTGCTACACGCTTGATCTTCTCAATCCAGTGGGCGAAGGCACTTTGCCCCAGCTACATCCCTTGCCCTGCAAAGACTAGGGTAGTTGATTCGCAGGTTTGGAGCAATGTTTGTTTTAAGTTTTTGCGATTTTCCTTAAACTAGGGTCGGTTTTGACGGTTTCTAACGACATGCGCCCTGTTGACTCTATACCGGGTGGTTTCAGCAGCATGATAGTTCATATTCAACATCATGAACGGAATCTCCTAAGCTACATGGAGGCGCAGGTACCCCGTATCCCTTTTGATCGCCATTGACTCTATACATGTTTTTGCATTTAGCTGCCAGCTGCCAGCTCGTGGCTGGCCTCACTAGCTCGATGTCAATGATGAGGTGCGCCTTTATACTGTTTCCGCGTAGACAAGAAAAACGAAGAAATCGAATGCTCTGTGCGCAAAATGCAACGCACGTTGCAACTAAACACTGGCTTTTGCAAACCCAAATTATACGTCGACTGTAGGTGCAGTCGCGTACAACCTGTTTAAACATTTTAAAACCCAGCCCAGGTCAGCACGCCTGCCGTCAAGTCACCGTGACACGGCTATAGTCTGGAAAAATCGGAAACAGTTGTTGTTCCCGTGGTGTTTCACATGGCACTAACTCGCTCCCAAACTCCACAGGGCATCTCGAATCTAGGTCGCTATCTCGGCAAAAGCGTTTGGTAATCGGACACCTTGCCACACACATTTTCTACACGCAAGGTATTTCAAGACCATCCTGGGGTGAAGCTATAGTACATGACCCAAGACGACTCACGTAGTACGCAGGCGCTCGCAGGTTGCACGCAACAAAGGCCTTAGCAAAACCAGCCGGTGGATGTCGGACCTGTGGATCGAGTCTCCTCGAAGGTGGCCTATGTGCGAGGCATGCAAAAGAAAACTGTGTCCTGGTCCGGTCCTGCCATTGGTCAAAAGCATTGCAACGATGGTATTGATGCGCAGAAGAACGGACCTTGGCCACGCAAGTCTTGTGGGCGTGACTTGGTGAACTCTTCGAGGGCGGAAGCAAACGAAGCTAATTTGCTGCGAAGTTCAAGGAACTTTCTGAGCTTACGCCGATGGCACGATTCTTGGGCTTGCGTTCCAGACGTGGAACCCGGCTGGAGGCGCAATCCACCCCACCAATCTGCCACAAGAAAGCGGTCAGGGTTCCCAGACCAACTTATGACACCAAACTGTGCATGGGCTCCATCTAGAGTAAGGGTGACAAGATAATGACACTGACCACTGCAGTCAGCACAGCTTTGCCTGGCCACCTCCTGCAGCACCTTCCTTCCTTCCTTCCCTTCCCTTCCTTCCCGTCCCTTCCCTTCCCTTCCCTTCCCTTCCCTTCCCTTCCCTCCCCCTCCCCTCCCCTCCCCTCCCCTCCCTTCCTTCTTTCCTTCCTTCCTTCCTTCCTTCCCTTCATTCCCAAACCTAACCCTTGAGAAATCCGCACACACCGCTTGTCGGTGCAGGGCGTGCTATTGGGGCTCTTGAGCTCTGCCATCCTATGCAAATAGCTTTGGTAGGGGGGGGCGCCTCTTTTTTTTGCGCGCCGCGCGCGCGGCTATGGTTGGGCTGCAGGGCTACTGGGGAGAGCGTTTTGGAGGTACATGTTTTGACTATTTTTCGTTACGTCGTGCTTGCAGGGCCACTGGGGAGAGCGTTTTGGAGGAGTTTTTGTGTTTTGGTGTGGTTGCTGCGTTGATTCTTGCTCGGCTGCAGGGCCATGGGGAGAGCTTTTGGCAACACCGAAGTTGTATCACCATTATGGGCCCCAAGGTAGACGAAGTTGGCCCCAAGATGGCTCCAACGCAGCCGTAAGATGGCGCAGTTTTCCCGAATGCGTAGCGCAGGGTTCTCGTTTAACTCTTGGGGTCTGGGGGGTAGAGCCTTGTTCGTGACCCGTTGTTTCTAAGTTCGCAACCGTTCGCAACCGTCCGCAACCGTTCGCAGGTGTTCGCAGTAGAGCGCTAAGGCGCTGCCATTGGGGGAAGCTTTTGGAGAGGGTTTCGGATGGAAACGTGACGTGTCAGATTCGTGTGAAATAGCGAGGAATCGTGTGGAAATGTAAGATGTCGAAGTGTGGAGGGTGATTTCACTACGCAGGTGCAGCGTTTTGTGAGATCCGCAGTTTGCTGCACAGTTCCATTGGGATTAGCCTTTGGAGAGTCATGTTTTTGGGGTGTTGGATGTGGCCGTGCCATTGGGATTTGCGTTTCAGGGTGTGGCATCGAAGCTCTGTTTTCGTGACAAGTCTCAGCTGAAATGACGATTTTTGTGGGTGGGAGTGTGCTCAGAACGGCTCGAAATCATTCCAAACGTGTGGTGTGGTGCAAATTTTGTTGAAGCTCACATGAGATGATATTGTCACTTTTCGTGGCAGGCGCAGTACTTTGTGCGGGTTTTGAAGTGTGGAAGTGCGATTTTCGTGGCAGGGGCAGGGAATCGTGAGGTTGCGAGGTGTGACGGAGGTGACATTTCGTGGCAGGCGCAGTACTTTGTGCGCGTTAGACGTGTGGACGCGGAAAGATGCATGGCAGGCGCAGGGAATCGTCAGGTTGTGAGTTGTGGTAGAGGTGAACGTCGCTGTCACATTGGGATTGGCGTGTGAGCGGGTGTTGTTTGGAGCGGCTGGAATTGCGAAACTGCTTGGCAGGACTGCGTGACGCGTGTGCTCCGATGGGCGTTTCCGCTTGACTTTTGGAGGAAGTCTCGTACGAAACGCTCGTTTTGCAGACTTTGACATGTGAGTTTTTGAGGAAGTCTCGTACAAAACGCTTGTCACTTCTGAAGCCTCATGCACACAGGGAGTTTGGTTTATATTGCGGAGCTCCTGTGGGCGCAGGTCGGAGAGGTTTCCACGATGAAATGTCCAATAACCTGCTCGAGGCAGAACTTCCAAGAAACATATAGTGGATTGAGAGTAGATGGCACGGACCCCAAGAGGTCTTAAACCACTTAATTGCTTCAACTTCTTTTTGTTGCAACAACCATGTTTCTGCCTGAACCCCACGCACTTCGTTGGTACCCGAACAGACATGGAACATGAATGATCTGAGGAGTTGGACAGTTGGACCATACTCGCACCCTCTGCACACGCCTCCAGCATGGTGAGCCCTTTGGGCACATCTGCCCAACCCCCCAACCGCTCGGGAGCTGAGCTACACCAAAACGACGTCCCGGTTTTGGCGGTTCGGGCCACGGCGGCTTGGGCTGAGGTATTGGACGCGAAGAGTTCCGACAACACGGCTCATGAGCTCGACTTCGGCGCGGTGAGTTCGGAGAGGTCCGAGCCCGAAAGGCGAACGTGTCGCTGCATGGCATGACGTTGCTCTGCATTTCGACGCGAAAGCTAGACAGAAGCACGTTTTAGCCGCTTTAGCCGCCTGCACGCTTTAGCGCTTTCAATGCCTATACGCTTTCGCAATCCAACGCGTTCTTCCTCCTCCTATTCGCAGTCAACGGCAAGCGCACGCATGTATACGTCGCGCATCTCTGCCTTCAGAACCTAGTGGGCGCGGCGCTTGCCCCGCCCGTACTGAAGTCATCACGAGTCCTCATCTGTCAGTTGGCATCTTTTGTTTTTCGCTTGTTCCCGTGTCTTTGCTTCCAGATCCACCTAATGGAGCATCTGGGATACATATCCAATCAGAGAAGAAGTTGCCACAAAAAAGGCCACGATAAAAATATAAAATCTTTCATATGGTAAGGCCAGAATCCTTTGTTTAAAAAAAATATCCCGGCAAGAGACCCCAAACAGTGTGTGTGTGAGGTCTGTAAGCAGAAAGTCTAGAGATCTAGACGCAGTGGGGTCCAGAGAGGTGATGGCGGTGATGAAGTGAAGGTGGGTGTGAGTGAGTGTGGGTGAGAGGGAGTGTAGTGGGAGAGTGTGAGCGCGAGCGTGAGTGGGAGTGAGCGTGGGCGAGAGTGAGAGTGAGAGTGAGTGTGAGTGTGAGTGTAAGTGAGTGTGGGTGAGAGTAAGTGCGCCTGAGAGTGAGTGTGTGAGGCAGTGTGAGTGTGAGTGAAAGTGGGAGAGTGAGCGTGTGAGGGAGTGTGGGAGACTGAGTGAGTGCCAGTGTGAGTGAGAGTGAGTGTGAGTGAGAGTGAGGGTGGGTGAGAGTGAGTGAGAGTGAGAGTGGGAGAGTGAGTGAGAGTGAGAGTGGGAGAGTGAGTGAGTGTGAGTGCGAGTGTGGGTGAGAGCGAGTGAGAGTCTGCGAGTGGGAGAGTGAGTGGGTGTGAGTGTGAGGAGTGTGTGTGAGTGGGAGTGGGTGGATGAGAATGAGTGTGAGTGAGAGTGAGTGAGTGCGCGAATGTGAGTGGGAGAGTGAGTGTGAGTGCGAGTGTGAGTGTGAGTGTGAGTGAGTGTGAGTGAGAGTGGGTGGGTGCGAGTGAGTGTGGGTGAGAGTGAGAGTGAGTGTGAGTCAGAGTGCGAGAGTGAGTGAGTGTGAGTGCGAGTGTGAGTGAGAGTGAGAGTGAATGTGGGTGAGATGCGCCTGCGCTGTGCCTGCCGCGAAATCTGCACTTCGAGGTTCACCAAGTGCTGTGCCTGCCACGAAATCTGGACTTCGAGGTTCACCAAGCGCTGTGCCTGCCACGAAATCTGCACTTCGAGGTTCACCAAGTGCTGCGCGTGCCACGAAATCTGCACTTCGAGGTTCAGAAAGCGCTGTACCTGTCACGAAATCTGCACGTCCAGGTTCACCAAGCGCTGCGCCTGCCACGGAATCTGCACGTCAAGGTTCACCAAGTGCTGCGCTTGCCACGAAATCTGCACTTCGAGGTTCAGCAAGTGCTGTGCGTGCCACGAAATCTGCACTTCAAGGTTCACAAAGTGCTGCACCTGTCACGAAATCTGCACTTCGAGGTTCACAAAGTGCTGCACCTGCCACGAAATCTGCACATCGAGGGTCACAGAGCGCTGTGCCCGCCACGAAATCTGCAAACGAGCCACATATCCAAAAGTCACAATTCACTGCACCCCTGTCGCGAAACCTGAGCTCCTCGACGATCACCACCATGTCCAAAGTGCTGCACCTGCCACCTGCCACGAAAACTGCATTTCGAATTAAAACAGCTCCGATCCCTTGCACCTGTCACGAAAAGTCGACTTTGGAGCACCAAAACACGAGGTTTCCCTTGCACCTGCCACGAAAAGTGACCACCGTGTACCAAAGAGAGCGCAGTCGCTAGAAGCACCCGCTGCCAGCAGGCAGATTTTGTGAGCCTGCGCAGTCGAAATGCACATTGACGATGTCGAGAGGCATGAATGTACTGTAATAGCAGCGAATTAGCCGTTCACGGCCGCGCGCTTCAGCGATCTAAGCACCAGCTGCTTTTCTACTACCGTAAGAACCCCTCAGTGTGCCCACACTGTTTGGGGAAAAGAAAATCAAAAACAGTCAAATGGAAAAGCCAAAGTAAAAAAAACAAATTGAAAAGTCAACAAAAAACGTCAAAAAGTCAACAAAATTGAAAAATGTCACAAAAGTCAAACATAGACCACAGCTCGAAAAAGTTTTAAAACAAATCAAAAAAGTCAAAAAACGTCAACATCAAAAAAAACCTCGAAAAAATTATTTTTAAAAAATGTCAAAAAATCGAACAAACAAATCGAAAAATGTCAAAAAAAAAAACAAAAAACAAAGTCCAAAAAAATCGAAAAATAACTAGAAAAAACGTCAATAAAGGTCCACAAAAAGTCGGATCTGGGCAAATTGTGTTGCTTGACTTTCTGAAACTTTTTGATTGACTTTGACTTTTGGGATTGACTTTTTTTGATTTGTTTGACTCTTTTGACATGTTGAAAACAGGCTCTCTCCAATGAAAGATGTTTATAACGAACCTACCAGGTAAGCGTGAAAAGAATTGCGAAAAGAACGGGAAAACAATCGGAGCGCGCGTCGAAACAAAGGTAACAGTATTTCATCCTGCCTCCCAGAAGGCTGCCATTTCAGCGGCGTTGAAATGATCCCACCACGGCAAGCCTGGTTGCAAGGAAAGCTGTCCGAGAGAGGAGCCGGTGAGTGAAAGCAGCTGCGCAGCCTCGCCACCGTCGGAGCGACACTCTTCAACCTAGAGGACCCCTCGAAGGCACTGCGAAGCAAAAGCTTCAGGCCACGGGGCTATCGAAGGAGCTGCTGGCTCCTTCAAAGTAGTCCCGAGATAAGGATTCCTCATCCCAGAGCTAAAGCGAAGGAGCTGCTGCCCCCTTTAAAATAGACCCAAGACAAGGACTCGTCTTCGCAGAGCTAAAGAGCCGGAGCTGCTGGCTTCTTCAAACAGATCCCAAGATAAGGGCTTCCCCGTCTCAGAGCTAAAGGGAAGGATCCCGAGATAAGAAGACAAAGCCGCAAATGAATTGTTTTCGTTTTTATTCATGTTGACACAGCACGTACTCAACGCTGAGTGGTCGGCCCAAGGCCTTCCAGGTTGAAGTGCTGTTAATGACGACATCGCCCACGAAGAAGACAATATCAAAGCCCAGACCAGCAGGCAAGGACGGCGCCACCAGGGCTTTCGCTCGATGTTGCCAACCCACATAGGAGCGCACCTGCAAGCACACGCTATTAAACGCATGCGTTGGCGAGGTTCCGTGTCATTTCGCGCTAGCGTTTATAGTATTTTCTAGGCAGCTGGCCTCCAAAATGTTGCCAGAAATGGGGTTCCGGGCAATCAGAAAAGGTGGGCGAAGTAGCTTCGTTGCCTCGGCGCAGAAAAGCGTTGAGCAACCCCTTACGGCGCATAAGGGCCATCAGCAAGCTTTCGATGTCCTCGCTCTCGCCTCACAATTGACTGGGGCAATCGTAGAGCTCGGGCTTTCCATGTCTTTCTTTTGTCCTGGCGTCCAAGACAAAGCGATCTTCAGATTCAAGCTATAAGCAAAAAGGAACCCTGTCCTGCCCAAGATTTTCCCAACGCCGGATCAAAAACAATGTTGTCAAGTTCAAGATGCGAAGCTTCAAACAGCTGCAGTGCGCACAGAAATCCATCCAGCCAATGTTTGAGTCAAGGCACACTGCCAAAACACGAGTGGCCATTAGCTGCTGCCCATGAGGCAAACCCAAGTTCTTTCTTTTGTATCGTGCATCGCTGTTGTTATTTTCATTTGTTTTCTCTTGCTCTTACTTTGCAGCCAAGGCACCACAGCCACAGCACAGGAAGTGGGACATACTCTTCTCGAGCAGGAATGCCACGACCTCGGGTTTTTGGATTTCTGAATCTCTGAATGATGATTTATCTTTGTATCTTCAATCGTTGTGCGATCTCACTTTCTTTATGTCTTCGTTCCAGGCAGTGTCTTTTTGTCCTGGCTAGTTCTTGTCTCTCACCTTTTCCTTCCGACAACGCAAGCCAGGCCTCTAAGAACAATGACCATCAGGCACCTGAGCGCGATTCGCAATCAGCGACAGGAAACACAAGACACATCAACTTGAGATGCGGGAGATCGAGGTAAGGAAGAGCAAATGCAAGCACGCAGCTGCAAGTGAAGGTTATACAGGTGCGGAAGCATTCTTTTCCGACCATGCGGCGCCGCACCGAATCTGCGCAGCAGCGAGGAGCTCATGGTAAGTGTTCCGCCCCCATGGTGCCCAATCAGAGCCGTTGCAATCCGTCTGCATCTGGACAACGTGGAAGATTGGATCGTGAATGGCAGACTGCCGCAAGGCAAAGCCTTTTTTGTCACCTAGCAAGATGAGCGGCAAGGCGTACCCACCTCGGTACGCGAACTCCCGAAGCTTGCGCTTACCACACCGAGTGTTGAGAATCTCCCGCAAAAGCAGAACGCAGAGGCGAGCCAGACCTGGTTTCCGTGGAACGACAAGCTGTAAATCTTTCAGCGTGAGGGTGTTTTCAATGAGCAGAATCTGCGCAGTCTTCAACTCGAATAACGGTAGCACACCCACGAGCTGCTTCTCTCGTAGTAGACCGCATTCTCTCATGGGCATGTCGCATTGAGAAAGACGGCCAACAAAGAGACACACCACTGGGAACTCGGGCGGGCCAAAGATGATTTGTAGCTGTTTGGGAGGAGGTGTAGGTACGGTGTCCCAACTGTTAGGAAAGACCTCAATCTGGTGGGTCCAAGTCTGAAAATGAAGCCACGAAAAGCCAACAGAAGCCAACCCAAGCCACCAAAAGCCAACAAAAGCCACCAAAAGCCAAAAGCCATCGAAAGCCAAAGCCACCAAAACCCAAAAGCCACCAAAAGCCCAAAGCCACCGAGAGCATCCGAGAGCCAACCTTCCTTCCTGCCCTCCTTCCTTTCTTCCTTCCATCCTGCCTTCCTCTCTTCATTCCTTCCGTCCGTCCTTCCTTCCTTCCTTCCTTCTTTCCTTCCTTCCTTCATGCCTTCCTTTCTTCCTTTCTTTGTTTCTTTTTATGTGTTTTTGTTGATGCATTTGTGTTTGATGCATGTTTTTTGGGATGCGTCTCCCAACCACTCCGGGAAACATGACACATCAAACTCCCACACCTAACTCATAATGGTTGACCTTTCCGATCTCTCGTTCCACCCGACGAACCAACGACCCGACCCGACCCGGGCCAAAGGAACGGCTTCAGAGGCGAAACCGCTCGCCTCCTCCTGGGAGGCTGGAGGAAGACCCCTCACTGCACAATAGAAGTTCAGCGGCCTCAAACACGGGCCGAGCCGCAGACCGGGCCGAGCCGTTCGCGACCCGGACGTTCGTTCCACGGGGCGTGGCGTGGATCGGCAGAGCGAACGAAGAGAACACCACCAGCGCACTGGTTGAAGGGTGAGCGGTCACGAAAATCAAAGGCCAACAAAGCTGAAGAGGTGCATTGCTCAGGGGTATGGTTTGTTTCTCTGGTTCTGTTCTAAAGTTGCAAAACTTAACGGATAAACTCGTTTGGGAACCTGCACTTGAAGGGCACGACCAGAAAAGGCAAGGCCCTGACACACCCCGCCAAGAAACACACCTTGCTGATGCAGGGGGTCTATCAACCACCGGACCTGTCCGGTGGTGCTGGGTTTGAATGATGTTCTTTCGGCCTTGGGTATTCAGCAGGTTTTGCTGGGTTCTTGGGGGTATCATGATGACACATGTGACTCATGAACGCAGGTTTGAAAAGCCCTAATTTCAGGGAGATATCTTTGCCTTGACCTGCTATAAGTGGCGCATGTCCCAGGATTATGGCGCATTTTGCCGAATCTAAGAAGGACGTCTTGTTGGAGAATACGTCCGCCCATACGTCCGCCGAGGCACTCCAGAAAGGTGGATTTCAGGGACAGTTCCTGCCATCGGGACAGCACTCCAAAGATTCGTTGCAAAAAACAAGAGATAGAGACCTTGCCATCTAAAGAAAGAGACCTTGCGAATGACTACTAATTGTATGATTCTTGAAATAACATATCGTAAAGGGATGTAAAAGAAATTCATAATATTTTCTGAGTGGCTATCTTTCCCTGCAGCTCTCTCTGGTGAGGGTCACCCAGAAAAACAGAATTGCCAAAATGACTCTTTCAGAGTGACGCGGGGTAGCCAGCAAGGTGGGCATGGGCAAATGTGCGAAGGTGTTACGAGTTGATTGTATGAAAACCCCACAGGACTGGAGGGGTTTACAATCAGATGGGGGTGTTATTCATCAACATTCTATAGAGGTGTCCTAGTCCTTCAATTAAATCGCTCCATGGCCCACAAAGGCACGCCGGCTGAACGCGCATGTTTGGAACTTGAAAGCTCTATTCCGCCGGCCCAACCAGCTCACCGAATCCTTCGGGCGTCCCATCGGGTGTCCTTATACTCACGAAGGAACTCCTCCATGGCTTCGTAGAAGCATGTCAGGGCCGTCTCCCAACTCATGTCCTGTCGACACCAGGTGAAATAGGTCCAACTGGGAGCCTTGTGTGACTAGGCGTGGGCGACTTAGTTGGTTTCCCTTTCTGAGTGATTCTGACCTAGAAGCTTGAAACAAACAACCGCTTCCTAGTTCAAAGGACGCTTCCTTTGCGCCAGACCCTGACAGTCCCACCCACCTCCAGGGGAGTCTCTGTAGGAGCGTCTTCGGCACCTGACAAACACCCCAACAACCAACAGCCTCTCTCAGCCGGTTGTTGAGCCAGAAGCAATCATCTGTCGTTGCAACAACTTGCATCAGCAAAGTTGTTGGAAGACTTAAACCGAAAAAGGAACTGTGTCCATGATCCACCTGTGAATCAAGGTTGCATGATCCCACGGACACAAAGAGTTCGGCTGTCAACGTCATGACTGGAAGAGTTCAGCTGCCAGACCCTCCGAGTCCTTATTCCATCCCGACAGGTCCAGCCAGACATAGTCAGACCTAGTCCTTGACCTCATTGAGTTAGTGTTCCTGTATTATCAACTTCAGTAAAATGGGGTCTTTGACCTGCTGGGCATCATCTGATGACATCACACAGGACACAAAAGCACACGCCACCTACCTCTCTCTCGCCAATACCTCTCGTTGTGGGTGGATGGTTGGCCCCAGGAAGAAATTCCTGGACTTCCGGACCGATCCTGGAAGTTCGGAAAAAATGAAGACCATGATATATCATAGACATGGGTCGAACTCGAAATATCTCCCGTTTCTGCATCATAGACATGGGCCTCCCCGACAGATGCGGAAAAAAAAAACGAACGACTCAACGAGACTGCGAAGGAACTCCCGCACGAGGGCGAAGCCGTCCCGTCCCGTGGAACCCCGCTTGGACCCCCGACCTGGACCCTCGCTGCGCTCGCTGCGCCGAGCTGGTGCAGGTGGCACCTCCCCGTCGGACGTTCGGGCGGTTTTGGGGAACGTGGAGAAACCCGTTGAGCCGGCCGTGCACGGGCAACCAACGAATTGGCTGAAAAGGGGGGACAATCAATGACCATCTTGCATAGATGCATATATTAAATACATACAAGTACGGTACATTACGGTACCATGTACATGCTGGTAGAGGTTACATACAAGATCATGCAAGAGGGCTAAATACTCTAATTATGCTGGGTTTTGTAAAATACTGTATTATGTCAATTCCATTGATCCTGGATATCCCGAGACATTCTTTAGGGCCTCTATCGAACCTGTTTCCGAACCTGTTCCGCTTTGAACCTCCGCAGTGGGTGGACAGCTTGCCGATGGAAAGCCGGAAATCGGTATCAAGTAACGTACTGCAACAAGTCAAAGAACAAAGCAACATTCGCAAAAGAGGCACTTCTTGACATTCTTCACCTCCGACAATGGCAAAAGCAACTGGGGACCCTGCCTTCTCCTGTGTGGGACTCGGCTCCAGTTCACCTGTCAGCAGTTCCTCTCGAGTAAAAAGATGCTTCAAACTAATTGATTCCAAGGAAAACGCCAGAATTCTCACCAAATATAGAAGAGAACAAAACAAGGATCAGAAGCTTGTGTTGTTCTCATTCGCATCATATCGAACATCAATGTTCACGTCCCATCATCTTTCCAGCGATTTTTCAGGGGTTGTTACAGTTACACCGGTCAAGCCAAAGCGGTTTCCTCGACCGTCCTTGTGCTTCAAAGTATGCACTGGGTCATCCACGGAGCAGAGTCAGTCGCGCGTAAGTCGTGCGTAAGGATGGGAGAAGTTCATGGCCTTGAGCAAGCCTCATCATGTTTGAAAAGGTCACATCATGTAGGCTGACACAGGGTTTCCTTCCGGAGAGCCAAACCAATCCCCGCATTCCCCTCCCGCATGTTCTGCGCCGCCTTTTTCGCGCCTACGAGTTGCACTGTACAGGGCTTGCAGTTCGCAGGAAAGGACCCAAGCTCTCCTGGCGTTCACTCCAACATGTCTCAGCCTCCGCTCGTATCCTCCAGCTGGAAAGGCATCCGAAAATTGAAGCTGAGGAAGAAACATGAAGCTGGGCACCATCAACCCTCCAGAAACAAGTTATCTGAATTACTAAGCATGAAGTCATGAAGTGTGCGTTTTCTTTGACCATCTGATCTCAAGGGAATGGTTTCATTCCCAATCCAGTCGTGGTAAAGCCGTGCCGTTGAGAGAACAGCGGCACAAAGACGGCTTGAAGAGGGCATCGGATGGCGTAGTTCATTGGCTCAGTCACTCATATAACATGATGTAGAGAGGCAAAGCTTGGTGGTCCTGCAGAAAGGCTCCAGTTCGGACCACAATGTGAGTGATGTATGCAGGTCAGGAGGTGCTTTTCTCTGCCAATCATACAGGGGTGCAGGGTGCTTTTCTCTGTGCCAGTTATGTAGACTCTTGATTAATAACCCCCCCATTTGAATTGAAAACCCTCTTCGTATGGGGAGGGTTATTAATCAAGAGTCTACCTTAGAGAAGCGATAGATATGTGTACCCTACTTCTTGTTTCCTGCTTTCAACTCACCACGATGGATCATTGGGATCGGATGCACCCCACAGGGTGGGATGCCCCATGGAACTCCCGCGGCAAACGTGGCCGAAAACAACGACGTTTTCAGCGCGCCGTGTTTTTTCAGCGACGGCGCACGCCTTGAAGGTCACAAAAATGCTCGGATTGGGAAGTCGGTCGCATGCATTCCTGAGCAGCAGGTGTTGGATCAACGACGAGCGGCCTTTCAGGCGTCAACGAAGGCTGGAACTGGTCCCCCGCGAGGTTGGAGGGAAAGAACTTCAAATGCAACTCTTCAAGCCTTAAGAGAGAATAAAGCAATGGATATCCCCAGGATTTGGATATGGTCTGAATCCACAACAACCATTGTTTTACCAAGTTGACTAGGGATTTTAGACTACGAAACCAGGTCAACCGAAGAATGGTCTTTGAAGGCTACCGTGGTCTTGTGGAAGCAAGTTCCAAGCGACCGGGGTCACGTTCGGCCTCCATGGGGCGACCCGACCCAGGCTGGGGTGTTGTGGCGAGGGGACACCCCTCCGGTGCCCGGTGCCTTCGTTCGCCGCCTGTTTGGCAGCCTGGGAAGGGAGGGTCCTGGTTTGGAACTCAACTGGAATTCCCTTGTTCCTGAATAAAATACATGGGCGAACGTGGTTCCATGGGTCCCACCCGCTGTTCATGGAACCACGGTCAACCACGGTCCACCGGTTTGGACCCACATCCACATCTTGTCTTGGAGTCTGCCGAAACGAATTCCGCCCGCCAACGCCGCCACGGGGCTCGTAGCGCTCTCCACTGGCCGAATGTGGCTTCTGGGGCGGAGGGTACATGTTGCTGGCGCCCACCACGCAGTCACCCACCAGCACTGCCTCAGCCCAAACGCACAGACCGTCCTCGCTAGCATGTGCTAGCATGTGCTAGGCCACTGATTCAGGACAAATTGTGAAGAAAATTCGGAAACAAACAAGAAGCTACTAGTAGCAAGGGCATCGCTACTAGTAACAAGCGCATTACGGCATTACTACTAGTAACAAGAAGCTACTAGTACCAGAAGATTGGGAAACCCGACCGTCCTCGCTTATCTATCTCGGTGTCTGAAGTCCAAAAATGAACAAAACGGTCAGAGTGTGCCACGCCCAACACATCAAAGTATTTGTTCTCCGACAATGATGAGCCAAGTCCACAAAAATAAACAGTTCTTCTCATCAAAAAACGGAAATTAAAGCACAGCGTCTTACTTCTCCGCATTATAAAATTTGTTGTGTTGTCTTGTGTTTACCAATTCTATTACATCTCCAATCCATAAGCACCGAACATGCAGGCACCACAACTAAGTAAGTAGTGGGGAAAAGCATGACCATCTGCGCCCAAGAAGACTCGAAATCACAATGGAAAAAAAAACACCCACAATGAACCTTGGAACCCATCTTCATCCCCCTCAGCCTCCTTTTTCGGCCACCAAGGAACAGCTAAGAACACTGCACGGACACGAGGATACAGGTCAGACCTCCCAGTGCCACCGGAGATCTGCGGGTCTCCGGTGGTCTTTTTGGCGTTTGGGAGACGCGGGAGACGCGGAAGGCGAACAGCGCGTCGCGTCTGTCTGTGTGTGTGCATGTTGAAACCTCGGCACTGACCGTTTCATTGCTTCAAGTGAAATGCAGCTGGACGTTTTGCCAGTGTCTTCAGGGGGATGGGAAGCACTCTCAAGCAGTTGCTCTGCATGCTACGGGTCCAGGTTAGCCACATCCCACCCCACCGGTCTTCTGCAGAGAGCAGTAAAGAGCAGGGTGCCGTGATTGTTCAAATATATATATATATATATATATACGGCCAGTCAGCTCCCCCGATCGCGACAGATCCGAACAGCAACGGAACACCGAAGCGGTGTGATGGACGAAGCTATTGCACGCTGGGAAATCCCGAAGGCGACACACCAAAGGGTGGCTTCGTTGCGGGTGTTGCGCTGTAGTCCTGGGTTTCTAGCTCATTGATTTTAACGTTTAACATGTAAGTGAAAAATCATTTGGGCCTTGCTACACGCAGCTGTATATGTCAATACGAGCTGGCGAGCTTAAGCTGCCAAGGGCGCATACAGTTTCGCGCAGCTGGAACCCAATTGCGGAGCAACATGGCAGAGCGCGTCCGCGAATGCGCTGGTACGCTGGCGGTGGCTGGCTGCGCTGGTTACGCTGATGACGCTGTTTACACTGGTTACGCTGTTTACGCTGAAACGCTCTTTACGCTGGTTACTATGTTGTTTACGCTGATTACACTGGTTACGCTGATTACGCGGTTTACGCTGGTTATGCTGTTTACGCTGGGCACGCCGTTCACGCTGGTTACGCTGACTATACTGATTACGCTGGTTACGCTGATTACGCTGTTTACGCTGGATACGCTGGCCATGCGGTTTCCACTGGTCTCCCTTCATAACTTCGCTCTTGGCTGCCGCTGCCGCCTGGTCTCCCAAGCTCCCAAGCTTGTCTCCCTTCAGGATTTCGCTCTTGGCTGCCGCTGCCGCCGTGTTTCCCAAGCTTGTCTCTGTTCCCGATTTCGCTCTTGGCTGCCGCAGTCGCCTTGTCATTTTCTTGCGTAGCGGTGTAACCGGTGTAACGGTGTAGACGGTGTAACCGGTGTAAATTGTGTAGACGGACGGTGTAAACGGCGTAGACGGTGTAACGGCGTTAACTGCGAAAACGGTGTAGCGGTGTGAACGGTGTATTGCTGCGAAAACAGTGTAGCGGTGAAAACGGTGTAACGGTGTACGAAGGGTAAACGGTCTAGACGGTGTAGACGAAACAGTGTAGACGGTGTAGACGAAACGGAATAAACGGTGTTAAACGGTGAAACAGGTTCTGCATGCGAGTGTGGAGGCAAACGCACAGAAGCACTGCACCTTTAAACACTCTACGACGCATGTGGGCGTCTGTGTTTTTCTAAGTCAGAGACAATAATATTTCCCACCTTGTTTGCAAGTGATGCGCACGATTTTTTGTATGTTGACAAGGCTGTTGGGGTTGCTAGCTGTGGTTTTGGGCTGTTTTTTTGCAATGTATGTGCTCAAGGGTAACAGGTTTGATGTGATGTGTAGAATCTACGGATGGTACTTCGCGAAGATGATCAGGCTTCGGCCCGAGAAGCTCGGGGCTCAAACAAGCATGGGCACACTCTGACGAACCCCTCCAGATGAATATGGATAGCATGGCCACCTACAAAGACGATGTTCAAATAGATTGTGGCTTTCCACTTCCCTTCAAAAGATGTTTTCCGAGCCTACGGCGGGTCAATTTCTGTACAACGTCAGATGATGCATTGGCTACCACACCCATGCACCTCCCGCCCCGTCACACCCATGCACTTCCCGTCTCGCGCCCCTCCCTCTTCCCTCCCTTCCTTCCCCAGCTCCGTCCCCTCCCCCCAGCCCCATCTACACCCTCGCGCCTCCCGTCTCGCGCCCCTTTCCTTCCATCCACAGCCCCATCCACACGCATGCACCTCCCCACGCGCCTCCCGTCTCGCGTCCCTTTCCTTCCATCCACACACCCGTCCACACCCATGCACCTCCCGTCTCGCGCCCTTTTCCTTCCATCCACAGCTCCGTCCACGCCTGCGAACTCTGCTGATTCATCGGGGACCCGCAACTGGGCCACCATGGCCAACACGATACGCCGGATGACAAACTACTGCGCCTGCCACGAAATCTGCACTTCAAGCTCCACAAAGTACTGCACCTGCCACGAAAACTTTGCACTTCAAGCAAAGGACGAAGGTCCACAAACTACTGCGCCTCCCAAGAAATTTGCACTTCAAGGTCCACAAAGTAGTGCGCCCTCGGTCTCGCCACACCGAAACACCCTGCCCTGGAGGTTTCAACGGAGCAGCAAGCTGCCAGGGTCTAACGTTGCCTTCGGAACACCATAGAAAGAGGAGTGCAGGGCT